ATAGTGTAACTTGCTTAAATTTCTTATGTGACATTAACAAATAAAAAGCTGTTTTAATATTAATCTGTCTTTTTAAATTTATGCTCAGTACTTGACATTTTTTAGCTTACTAACAATAGTCCTTTCAAAATGGGAACATAGGGGCAGCGGGAGAAGACTTTGAGGAATATATTCCTTTTAAAGGAAAAATGGAGATTGTATTTCTAGAACCTAGTTTTACTGTCTTAAAATAGGGAAAAGATAGTAAAAGCCATCTTTTAGAGGAGTAAGGTATAAATGACATGAAATACAGGCAGGTGTGTGCTGTGTGGGATAGCTTTGTTAGGTGTGGTGGTAATTAGGGTGTCATTTGTTATGGGCTGGGAATTTTTGTCTTGTGATTGCTTCAGCCAAGTGAGTTTGTCTTGTAGAAAGTAGAATATCTGAATCCTACCTAACAGATGATAACATTTCAGAAGCTAACCAAGAGTCAATGTATGCCTTTTTCTTAAAATATTCTTGCAGTAAGCTGTGCTAAGACTACCAGCTTTCACTTGAAAATCACTCACAAAGTCCCAGAATTACTGTGCTCTGCAGATTTACTGTGTACTCTGGTGCCGTTACAGACAAGATAAATGCTGGGTTAGAAATTCTGTCTGGTAAAGCAGATAAAATGATAACTTCTCAACACAGATTTATCTTTAGAATGAGAATGGCAGTGCAGTATACGGCCAAACCTGATTGTGAAAAATTTTGTCACAAGATGGGATTCTAGGCATCAAAATTCACTCTATGTACTTGATTGTTAGATAAATTAAACTAGGTTATAGAAATGAACACTAATTAGTTAGGAAGTAAGAAAAATTGGCAATTGTGATACAGTAGAGTAGTATAAACTCTAGTGAAATTTAGAGTCAAAATCCAGGACTCAGTTTCGTGCCCATGAATGTGTGAGCAGTAGACTAAGTCTATTCAGACGGATAAACTTTAGACTAAATTGAGGTTTCTGAACGTGAGCTTCCTTACGGCTCTTCCTACAGAATATGAGAGAGGCAGAAGGACAGACACATGCTGCTTCTCTGTGCCTTAATGTATCTCCTTATCAATGGAGGTTAGGGATGCAGCATATAAAAATGCATTTCTGGATTTTTAAACTACTTTATGACAAGCACGAGTTTACCCCTCTCCCGTATTTTGTCTGATGATTATAGTTTCACCACTATTTGTACTCAGATTTATTTTTGTACTCTTGTTCAGCTCTCATCTCAGTTTTTACTAAGAAAATTCTGAATGTTCTTATTTTATTGAATATTATCTCATTTCCATTTGCTATCCTTCCCTTCTGGGATTTCTTTCAGACTATTACTGAATCTGTCCTCTTTCAATATGTTTTAGATTGCTCTGTGCTGTATTCTTAGTAAGTACTTTGTATTTATCTGACTGATTCTGTTCTGAGCCCTGTGTAATCTGTCCCGTCCCGCCCATTGAGTTTCTAATTTTATTGACTATACTTTTCATTTCTGAAGCTGCCTTTGATTCTTTTCCAAACTCGTCTGTTCTGTTTTCATTATAGTTTCTATTCTATTAAAAATAACTGCAATCATTGATTTTATAGTCTAACTAGTTCTTCTTTCTTGTGCTCTTAGAGGTGCTGATTTTCTTGTTAGCTGCATCTGCTGCTAACAAGACTCCCCAGTGGTGGTTTGTTTTCCTCATGGGGTTTTTTAGGACTGTAAACTCATCTTCGGCAAGGGTTGTTTATTTTGTGAGCAGTCCACGTCCCAGAGTTTTGATGGTGTTTTCCTATTCCAGCTCCCCAGTGATTGTAGTGGTTCAGACCTTTTCATTGTTTTCTCATGTTATGGTCGTGAAAATCCACTACGACACTGCATGGGTGTTCTCTGTTTTTCACAGGTGACATCTAGGTAACCCTAAGTGTCAGCCGAAGTTCACCATTGCTCTGGGATGGCAGGCAGCATTCTGGTGATGTGAGGTGCCGGGAGAACTTTAAGGTTTTGTGCTTTGTGCAGCAGCCCCTGTTCTAGGTCCTCTTTGTGGACGCAAAACCATGTTCCTCTCTCTTACTCTTAGTCCCCGAGGCTTATATTTGACTTTGAGTGCAGTTCTTTGTTCCTTTATGGCACCTGGACATTTCTTGTTCTTTTAAGCTTGGCTCTATATTACAGCACAAATTCAGTTATATTTTATCAGTTTTATAATGGATGGAAGGAGGGAAGGATTGTCCATGTCACTTTAGTCCACTATCATATATAAATACATATACATATTCATTTGCATATGCGTATAAGTGAGATATGATTATCCTAAGTCATGTTTCTCAGTTTCAATCTCTTACCCACCATCCCTTTCATCGGATCTTAAATTTACAAAGAAATTTATTTGAATACTCCTCTTCTTGGCCAAAACCTCATGTTAGAAACCAAATGAGAAATTGAAAGTAGCAGCATGGATATGAATTTTGGGAGGTACCACCAGAGGAGAAAGACTCTTAGCGTTCAGAATTTTGAGTCTCTGAAGTAAGGTTCTTAAATTTCCAGGGTACTGAATTGGCAAAACCCAGAACTCTGAAATTGGGACTGACTCTTCTCTCCCTGGCCAAAAAAAAAAAAAAAAAAAAGAGGGGGAGGGGCACCAAAGGAGGCAGTATTCAAGATTCCGTGTTTCTGCCATTTGCCTGCTTTATTAAAGGCATGTTCAGAGCCAAATTGGTGAGAATGAGGAAAACACTTAGGCAAAATAATGTGTAAAATTCACAGAAGTCATATTTCAAATTGTTGGAGACAGAGCATCACTTAAATGTTGAATGGGAAGAAAGTAGGGAACCATCCTGGGAGTGGATGCTCCTTTGCTGTTTTGGAGGGTCAGAGTGAGGGCAGAGGATGATCACAGGAGGTGGACCGCAGCCTCTTTACCCTGGAGACGTCAGACCCAGTGGGAAATCGCCTCACTTCCTGCCTCCTCCCCCTCACTTCCACAATGTGTTTTTTCTCACTCTCAGCGGCACAGTAAATCTGTCTCGTGCTGACATTTCTCCAGAGACAAAATGCACCTCTCAATTTAGGGAGACAGCTTGTTCAGTACCTTAATTACTTTATAACAATAAAACACATATTTGCCCAGATTTATTACGTGAGTGCTTCCTCCACCAATCTGAACTGGAACTCAGTTTAAATGCCAGCCAAGTTTGCTCTTAGAGAAATGCAGCTCTTGTTCCATGTCAGTGGTTTTTACACTCCTTTGGCTGTGTGTTACTTCAAATGGGCCCCAGTCTGTGGATCCAAATTTCTCTGAATTTTGTATGCCATTTTCTTCAATATTGGTGTTAATTTCTTTGATTTAAAGTAAGAAAATCCTCAATTGCCTCCTAAGCCTTCTTTCATGACCTACTGGCCCACAGTTACATACCCAAATCCCCTTTGCCACCCTAGCATCTGCCAACCTTCAGAATTTCTGCATGGATCCAGCTTTGGGGGCTGACCTCCCATATAATTATAATAGCATGCAGGTACCTTCACTAGTATTTCGTTTTCCTCGGTATTTTGTGACTCAATCTGGGTAATTCTTTACCAACTGTCTGGTTTGGTCTGTTGAGTATATTCGGGTATTTCCACAACCCCCTTCCATGTAGTCCTGTGTCCCATGACAAGTTTAGCCACAAATGCTAGCCGAAGTGTCTACTGTGTGACCACACCAGAGGGACACAGATATCTCATTGTCCTGAGCAGGTCTGGCCTTTGGAAGAAACCGGCTTTCTACCTTACTGGCTGACGCTGATCTTCAGAGGACTTGTTCATTACCTAGTTTCTCCAAACTGTGAATCCCAAGCCATTCTTTCCTTTTTTTCCCCTTTTCTTCCTCCATTATTTACATTTGGGCCTGGGAGCCTCCCAGCTCACACCGCCCTCTGACAATACTACTTTTTGACTTGGAGCCTGGCAGCTGGCGCTTTCCCTTCCAAAGCCCGGGATCGTGACCTAGCCTTCCTCTTGCTGCCAGCTCCTCGCTCCTTAGTTAAACTGCCTTCCAATGGGTGTCAACCGGGGACTGGACCCAAGCTCTTTCTGGGGCCAAGTATTTCTACAAACCATTTTCCCAGCTGCCCGGTTAGATCATTTCTCTTAGGCTTTTGTCCTGCTAAGAGAGAAATTATTAGGCAATTTGAACCTTGGAAAAAACAAGAGCTGAAGACATTCACCGAGTGCCTGTTGCACAGTTCTCATCATCCTTGTGTCATAAAAGAAAGAGAAGGCTCGGACTGAACTCTGGGAGGTGCAGCCATGGGGTCACCAGGAAAAGGAGTGCTTGTGTTTACAGATCTGGGAGGGGTCCCTTTGTGGAGAAGGAGGGGTTTGGGCACAAGACGGGGATGCTTTGGGTGACCTGGGCTGACCTCATACCAGAAATTCCTCTAGGATCCTGAAGTTGTGTCGTGTACTTGGGGGACCGTTGGGAACCCAACTGGGAAACTGGCTGGGGCGGGCTCTGGAAATGAGTGCCGCTGTGACGCTGTACAGGGAGCACGGATACCATGTTATCTCTTCCTCGTGCATGGAATAGTTTCATTCTCATGGAGGAGGAGAGAAAAGCAACCTAAGATCCAAAAAGGAAGGAGAGAGAAAGGGAAAAGGTCTTTACCGAATGTTCACAAAGCCGGGCACTCGGCTCTCAGTCTTCCAGTACCACGCTGGGTAAGCGGCATTATCCTCGTTTTGCAGATGGGGTAATGTACCCAGAGTTTAAGTCATTTATTCACTCAGCATTCCGTCAGCCATTCACTGGGGGATTTGGTTTTGTCAGGCACTGCCTAGC